AAAAAAAGAATCCACCTGCTAATGCAGGGGACACGGATTCGATCCCTGGTCCGGGAAGATCCCACATGTCGCGGAGCAACTAAGCCCGTGCGCCACAACTACTGAGCCTGCACTCTACAGCCCGTGAGCCACAACTACTAAGCCCTCGTGCCACAACTACTGAAGCCCATGTGCCTAGAGCCCATGCTCTGCAACAAGAGAAGCCACCACAACGAGAAGCCTGCGCACCGCAACGAAGAGTAGCCCCTACTCGCCGCAACTAGAGAAAGCCCGCGCGCGGCAACGAAGACCCAACACAGCCCCCAAAATTAATTAATTACTTTGAGAAAAAAAAAAAGTAAACAGCAACGGGATTCAGTTATATATACACATATTTATATATACATATATATATATAATTGATAATATATGATATAATGTGTATATATATTCTTTTTCGGATTATTTTCAATTATATGTTATCACGAGATATTGAATATAGTTTCCTGTGCTATACAGTAAGTCCTTGTTGTTTTTCCTTTTTTTTGGAAGCTTCTTTTTGGTGTTTGAGGACATCTGCTAGGTGTTTTGATGGGTGAACAAAAACGCCAGCCCACGGCCCACACGGGGTATCCGGAGACCTACTCTATGAGAAGCTAAGACTCCACAGGCCTCCCCGCCAAGGAAACGGGGAAGCAGGTGTGGCCTAGCCCTCCTCTGAGTTGCACACCAGGTGGGCACAGCCAGAGCCCTGAACCTGGTACCAAGGAGACCCCAAATGACAATGCTCCAGGCAGCCAGCAGAGGCAAAGCAAGTCCTCTCTGTAGGAAAACAGGTTCATCCTAGGCCTGAAATGATTCCTATAAATAATTTTCCAAGTATGATGATCAACACACAGCCAAAGATAAGCCAGGTGCACAAGGAAACAAGACACTATGAGTGAGAAGCAGCAGAAACCAAAACCAATCTACCTAATGGCACTGTGGTAACCTAAACGGGAGGGAAGTCCGAAAGGGAGGGGATGTCTGTATGTGTGTGGCTGATTCATTCTGTTGTGCAGTGGAAGCTAACACAACATGGTAAACAACCATTTTCCAATAAAAATTTAAAAAAAAAAAGAAAAAAAAAAGAACCCCAAATTTGAGATGCTCAGAAGCACTGGAGGTTTCAGAATGTTATAAAACCCTCAAAATGTATATTGAGAGAGCTTCAGAAGTATCCACTCTGAATAACATGATAGACAAAAATCAAAATAGAAACAAAATGACAGTTAAAACAAATATATTCAGAGTCATTTTCTCAATTTACAAAACTGAATAGACATAATACACAGTCTTTGAGTTGTAAATGAAGTGGAGATATTTACAGGATACACTGTTTAAAGAGAAAGGCAAGATGAAGGGAAGTGTACAGAGTAGCCATCCATTTCTGTGTAATATACTATGTTAAAACAAAACAAAAACCTGGGCTGGGGGAAAGAGAAGTGGGAGTTAGTGTTTAATGGGGACAGTTTCAGATGAGGAAGATGAAGAAATTCTGGAGATGGACGGCAGTGATGGCTGCACAATAATGCGGATGTACTTAATGCCACAGAATTATACACTTAAAAATGGTTAAGATGGTAGATTTTGTTATACATATTCTGCCACAATAAAAAAAAAACAACCCCAACAATTTGTAATGCACCTTTACGTCAACATAAAAGTAGAGAAAGGTATAAAATACACATCAGACTTTAAAATGGATTCCCTTGGTCTGGGGGAATAGGGAAGGCCTAGGGGTAAGCAAAAAAACCCCAAATGCCTCAAAACACAATACTGTCTTAAAAAAAATTCTGCACAATAAAAACAGCATGCACATGAATCAACATGGGAAAGGATCACCACCAATACAGTAATGATGAATAATGGTTACCTTCAGGTGATTTTTTATTTTCTTCTTTATGCTTTTCTTTTTGAATATTTTTTAATGAACAAAATAAAAGCCCCACAACAAAACTGTAGCAGACTGCTAGTTGTTTCCCAATATTCATCTTTCCCTTTTCCCTCAGAAAGAAGACTCCTAAATTGTCACTGGACCCCTTGGCTACCTGGAATAAAGACTACAAAATCCAGCCTTACAGCCAGGTGTGGACACATGGTGAAGTTCTGGCTAATAAAATGTAAAAACAGTGTGTTTACTGGACTTTGGGGAAGTGTCTTAAATAGAAAGAGCATCCCTCCTTTATTTCTTCTTCCCTCCTGGAATGTGGACGTGATGGTCTTATCCTCAGCACCCATATTGGGCCATGAGGATAAAGGGCAAAACCTAGCAATGGTGGCACAAAGAGCAGGAAGCAATCTGGGATGCAGAAGACCACAGAATCCTGGTCTGCCTAGGTCCAGAATAGTACATGAGAGTCAGGGAAACTTCTATTGTGTTAATTCCGGTCTCTCAGATACATGCAGCTCTATAATTATTAGATGAGACAAGTACTTATTGATTGCAGGTGTGAAAAGCAATACAGTTGACCCTTGAACAACAAAGGTTTGAAGTGCGTGGCACCACTTAAACGAATCTTTTTCAACAGTAAATACTACAGTACTGCACGATCCATGGATGGTTGAATCCGTGGATGTGGAACCACAGATATGGAGGAATCGCTAGTACAGAGGGCCAACTGTAAGTGATACGTGGATACACAGAGTCGGCCCCCCCATCCCCATGTTGTTCAAGGATCAACTGTATAGCAGAGAGGTTAAGTGCTCAGCCTCTAAGTTGCAATATCTGGATCTGAGGCCCAGCTCTCCTACTTCCCAACTGGGTGACCTTAGGCAAGACTCTTAACCTCTCTAGGCCTCCATTTCCTCAACAGTTAAAATAGGGATAACAGGGCTTCCCTGGTGCCACAGTGGTTAAGAATCCGCCTGCCAATGCAGGGGACGTGTGTTCAAGCCCTGGTCCGGGAAGATCCCACATGCCACAGAGCAACTAAGCCCGTGTGCCATAACTACTGAGTCCGCACTCTAGAGCCCGTGAGCCACAACTACTGAGCCCATGTGCCACACTACTGAAGCCCGTGCGCCTGAAGCCTGCACTCCGCAACAAGAGAAGCCACCACCATGAGAAGCCCACGCACCACAACGAAGAGTAGGGCCTGCTCGCTGCAACCAGAGAAAGCCACGCACAGCAACAAAGAACCAAAACAGCCAAAAATTTAAAAATGAAAAAAAAAAAAAGGGATAACAACACTTCTTACCTCGTAGGCTTGTCTACAAGCATTAAATGCATTGATATGTACACACACACGATATAATACATCATCTAGAATGGAGCCTGGTACATACAGTAATTGTTTTAGAAGTGTTAGCTATTATTGTTATTTTCATCATAGAAAAAAGGCATACCAAAAACTTCAGAATGGAAAAACACTACAAGAGAATTCTAGCGTGAGTGGGTGCCTCCCTGCTGAGCCCCAAACCACGCCAAAGGGCAGCATCAGGCACAGGGACTTGCCTCTGCCTGTACAAGCCATGGAGCCCTGGGGTCCGGGGTCTCAGGGGCCATGGCCCAGCTGAGCTATCTGCTACCTCCCACCACCCCAGGAGGTCCCTGATGCACACGGCTGGGGCAGGTCTGGAACTGGCCATTCCTGGGGACCCCTCCATTTCCAAGGGAGGCTCCCATTTTAGTAAATATGCCAAGGGAGAGTGTGTGAGCAAGGACACCCACAGGCAGCTGTGCCCCGGCTTAGCGTGTGGCCTGCAGGGGGCCCACGCACTCCGGGCTCCTGGGTCTCCGTGTGTGAGACGAGGCAGACTGGACTGGACTTTCTGTAGGATTCCAGATCCCCAGTTCCCTGAAGAACATCTGCTCACCGTGGGCCCTCCATCCCCGCATCCCAGACCAGGAAGCCCTGCCCTAGGACACCAGGGCTGGCCCTCACCTAATGCTCATATCCTCCCTCCCACCCCAAGTAGGCATTCTACATTCACGGGGAAATTTTGAGTGTATGAAAAGACATACGACAACTCTCCCTCCCACCCCGCCCTCCACTCCAGGTAACCACTGGTATAGTTGGAGGAAGTGCTGAAAACCACGGGCTCTACCCTCTACTCTCAAAAAAGGCCATTCTCACGCAATCTGCTTGTTGCTTCCGAGAGTTCACAGGCCCCTGAAAACAAACCCTGAATCCCATCTAAGAACTCCAGATGGAGACGGTCTTCCAGCACCCACCGGGACTGATTCTTGGTGGCGCCTGGTCCTAAGGAAGGAAATTAGCCTGCACTGTGGCTGTATTCAAAACGTCTATCTGAAGGAAGCTCCCTTATGTACTGATGTGGAAAGATTTCTAACATATAGTGTTAATGAAAAAAAAATCAAGGTGTAGAACTGTGTAAAATAGGCTACCTCTTACGTAAAAATGAAGGGAAAGATAAAAAAATCATCTTTATTCCTAGCTGCTTGAAGCATGAAAAGAAGAAACTGATATATAAGAAAATTCTAAGTCCTTATTGGACACGGAGGCGGGGGAGGGGAGGGAGTGGCACGGTGAAGAGAAAGGAGGGGCTCCATGGATGAAGAAACCCAGTCCCAGATAGATCCCCCTGCGCCCTCCCAGCAGCTCCCCAGGGCCTCACTCAGAGGCCAGGCTTCCAGAAGGCAGGCCCTGTGCTCCGGGTACCTGGGAACGGTCACATGCGTCCGCGTGTAAAAGGATCTGCACCAGCCAGTCTCAAAGGCACAGCCTGTATGACTTCACTTACAGGAGGGACCCAGAGCAGTGAAATTCACAGAAACGGAAGGGAGAATGGCGGTGGCCAGGGGCCGGGGGGAGGAGGGAGAATCGAGGAGTTAGTGTTTAACGGGCAGAGTTTCAGTCTGGGGAAGATGAAGCTCTGGAGACAGATGGTCTGATGGTTGCACAACAATGTCACTATACTTAATGCCGCTGAGAGGTGCACTTAAATGCACTTAATGTACTTAAATGCACTTAAAATGCTAAATTTTATGTAATGCAGATGTTGTGGCTGAATTGTGTCCCGCCCCCCTCCAAATTCATGTGTTGCACTTCTAACCCTCAGTATCTCAGTATCTCAGTGACTGCATGTGCAGATAGGGCCTTTAAAGAGGTGACTAAGGCTAAGTGAGGTCATTACTTAGGGTGGGCCCTAATCCAGTCTGACTGCTGCCCATATAGGAAGGACACAGACAACACAGAAGAAAGACCATGTGAAGACAGGAAGACGGCCAGCTACAAGCCAAGGAGAGAGGCCTCAGAGGAAACCAGACATCCTGACTTCCAGCCCCCAGAATTATGAGAAAGTAAAAAGGATCTCCAGCAGTACAGTAATGATGGTAATCCTCAGTGATTCTTTCCTTTCCTCTTTTTAAAAAAAATGTGTTTGCTTGTTTGGCTGCCCCACATGGCTTGCGGGATCTTAGTTCCCCGACTAGGGATCGAACCCGTGCCCCCTGCAGTTGAAGCACGGAGTCCTAACCACTGGACCGCCAGAGAATTCCCTCCCTTCCTCTTTATGCTTTTCTTACTTGAACTTTTTTCAATGAACAAAACCAAAGCTACATCTGCTCACCTGAACAGCACGCCTTTGATGACCTGCCAGGCATTGGGTGCTGGCTGGGGTGGTGGGTTCTGGGGCTGGGTCTCCGCCGGCGGGTCCCTCCCGATGCTGCCATTGCTAGTCACCTGCAGGGACAGAGGCCAGAGTGAGGAGAGAGGATGCATCCTGAGGCGCCAAGGCTGTCGTAGGCACCACCATGTGCCGAGGCCCAGTAAGGGCTGAGCACAGAGAGGGCGCCTGGCCCATCCTGGGGGTCAGGGAGGGGTCCTGGAGGAGGAGACATCAGAGCTGAGCCCTAAATCATAACCAGTTGGCTGGCGCAGAGGAGGCAATGAGGGAAGCAGCAGGTGCAGACAAGAAGGTGAGAGAGACAGTCTGACTCCGAGGATGGGCCAATGCACCCTGGGGCTGGAGCCCAGGATGCAAGGACATGGCTACTGGGGACAACGTAGAAGGGGTTAGGCGGCAGGTGTCAGATTCTGCAAGGCTTGGGTTTATCTGAAAGGTCCTTCCGTGGGCAAACAATTCTTGACGCCTCCTCTGTGGCCAGCCCTGTGGGGGGCCCATCCCTCCAGGGGCTCTGGATCTAGCAGGTGAGACAGACACAGAAAAACACAATCAGAGCATGAGCCACACAGAGGTGTGTGAGATGTACACAGCACAGACCACCCCATGAGGCCAGAACTAGGAACACCGCCATTTGGCAGCCGAGCAAATGGGGGCTCAGGGAGCCTAAGCCACTTGTCTGGGTCACTCAGGAAGGATGATGGCAGCACGATGACAGGAGTGTGGGCAGGCCAGGGAGTCAGGCAGGGCTTCCCAAAGAAACAATCTTCATTCAGAAACAGAAGCTAAGAAGTGGAGAATTTCAGGATGTCAGGTTGGAAGGGCCCAAGATGGGGAAATTCTTCCTGCTCCTCTCTTTGCACCTGCTGGCTCCCCTGTCTTGCCCTCTTCCCTCCCGCTAGCTGTCCCCTCACCCTCCAGCTTTTAAGAGACAGGACAAGGGCTTCCCTGGTGGCGCAGTGGTTGAGAGTCCGCCTGCCGATGCAGGGGACACGGG